CCCGCGCGGTCTCGCATCTGCCCCGCCCCCTCCCCACCGTCACGCGGAATGCAGGGTGCAACCCGCGAGCCTGGGGGGGAATCTCGCCTTGAGCCTTGAAGCTTAGCGCGGGAATTTATGTAGGAGGGCTGGGTGAACAGAAGCAGCGCGTGACGTGACGTCACGGACCACTGCGCCATCAGCTGATCCCTGGTGGCGCGACGGTGATGATTGAGACTTCCGTTTTCGATCGGGTGGGGGGGCAGATGCGGCCATCGTAGCACTACCCTGACGAGGGTGTCATGCCCCTGAAAATTAGCATGAGCCACGGCTGTTGTAATAATAGTTGTTTTCAATGGCTCCCCTAGCCGCCGGCTAGTGTCCCCTGAGATAAGGCAGTTTGGGGGGAACTCCTTTACTTGTGCTACTCCCAGCTAGCTGAAGTACTCAAGGCAGCTGTTACATTAACGAGCCAGATAAAGGTTCCTTGTTCCCGGGCATCCTTCCCAGTTCGGCGCTGGCCCTCGAGCTCACCCCGTCCCTGTGCTCCTCCCCCCAGTGCCCCGCCAAACCTCCCCTATGCGTGTGTGCTTCGAATCGCTGTGCTTCGCGTCGCAGCGGCCGAGGGACGAGGACGACGCCGAAGCAACGGGGCAGTCCCAGAGCCGGGCCCACAGCCGGGCCGGGGGCGCCCAGGCCGGCAGCGGGTCCCAGGGGCGCTCGCCCCCTCAGCAGCCCAAGCGGACGTCGGCCTTCGTCGTCGTGGACAGCATGGGGTCGGTCCAGGAGCTGCAGGCGCTGCTCGCCGACAAGGAGGCGCGCATCGCGGAGCTGGAGGCCGCGCTGCGCAAGCGCGACGACGACATGGTGCAGCTGCGCTCGCACCTCGACAAGTTCCAGTCCGTGTTCCCCTACTCGTACACGCAGATCAACAACAACCTGAGCGCGCCGTCGTCGCCCAGCGGCCCGCCCTCGCCCGCGGCCCCGGGGCTCACCACCCCCACGGGGCCGCGGCCGCGCAAGCAGCGCGCGCAGGGCATCTCCGCCGAGCCGTGGAACGACGAGCTGGACCTGCAGGACTTCCCCACCATCGAGAAGAGCGACAGGTGAGTCAGCAGCGCGGGGGTGTGGCAGTATGGGGGGAGGGGGG